TGCTTCTCTCTTACCTATTTCCCCCGAAGACTAATCTGGCACAGACAAGAACCTCACTAATAGCCCAGCAGTTTACGCAGGGGGCCTTGGGCTGGGAGCAGGGGTGGGGATGTGGCTGGATATCTACTGACCCCGGGCCAGGTTTCTGGCTAACAGGATGAGACCTGAGCTGACTCTGATCACCTCCAACTTGGGAGATGTGGGGTGTACATGTCTGCTCCCACCCCAGCTCTGCATCAGGGATTGTGGTGCTCCGGGCCTGGGCTGGCCCGAGGGCTGTGATGTGGGGCCTCCTCCTGCTGTTGGTAGCATCCCCTGCGGCTGGTGTGGCGGTCCCTAGTGCAGGTGTGTGTTGGCGACGGTCTTGGGTGTTTGGCTACTGCTGGCCTCTGCCTTGGGTGGTCCTTCAGTACAGGGCTGACTTCTCAAGCCTGCAGGGAGGGTGGTGGTACCTATCACACAAGTCCTGGACCCTGGATGGGCTGGCCCTGTGACTGTCAGCAAAGGACTTCCCCTGTCTGGACCTCAGTTTCCTCCGTTAGTCGGACCAGTGAGCAGCACCAGATAGCTGTGGTTTCCAGCTTTTGTTTCACAGTGCATTCTTACCCAGTGTGCAGCGTGGCCAGTGTGGAACAGCTTTGGCTCCCTTCCTCACCCCGGGATCCTGAAGCAGAGTCTCCAAATTCCTAAACAGGTGCCTGAGGTTCCTTTTGTGGGGTCTTAGGAGATCTGTGTCACCGCCTGGAGAGTGATCTGGGATTATGGAGGTGGCATGAACAGGAATTCTAAGGACTCCATTAGGAGAGAGGTGGGTATCAAGATGGCAGCTCTGGACTGATGATTTGCTCCCCTCAGTACAGCACAGCTGTGTCCTCCCTGTGCCCTGAGGTTTTGGCTTTTCAGGGCCAGACAGATGCCTCTGCCCCGGGTCCTTCTCTGGATCCTGGTTGGGGACTATAGTTCCACCCTAGAGTTTCTCCTCTTGACTTTCATATTTGTAAACTGATCAAGTAGAAATTGATCTTTCGGGTATTGGGAAAGGGCTTCCAGCTGTTGCCAGTTGTTTTACCTCAAGAGGTCTTTGAATGCACCCGTGGACATCAACTGCAAACCAGTCAGTATTACAGAGTGCTGCTGTGTGCCACCTGATACCTGGGGACAGGGGTGAGAATATGACAGTTTTCCTCACGGCCCCAAGACAACAGGTCGGAGGGAAGGAACTCATATGGATTGGGATTGTCCAGTGTGGTAGTCAGCTTTTTGTCACTATGACAAAGTACCTGAGTTGAACACCTTCACAAAAAAAAGATGTATTTTGGCTCACAGTTTTGGAGATTTCAGTCCATGGTCACTGAACTCCATTGTTTCTGGGGCTGTGCTGATACAGAGGATCATAGAAGAGCCAGAAGCAGAGACACTGAGAGAAGGGCTAGGGAGAGGATGTACCCTTTTCCTATGGCGGACCTACTTCCTATAGGTCCCCTGCCTGAGAGCCCATTCAGCTGTAATTTCATCAGTTGATGAAGATAAGCTACTAAACTGTTCAGGGTGGGTTTAAACTTGTGATCCTTCTACCTCAGCCTCCAAGAGTGCTGGGATTACAGGTGTGTGCTGCCACATCCAGCTTGGGGGACATTTTTAACCCAAACCATAACATCTAGGAACCATTTAAACATTTCACATATGTTATCTTCTATGTCCCATAAAGTAGATATTAGTTTAATTTTTAAATATAAAATAATACATCCCATATACCCAGGATACAACCACTCAAGTTAAGAAACAAATTTCTCAAGACCTCGAAGCCTCGAGTGTCCCCTTTTGGGTCACCACCCCACGCCAGTAGGAACCACTGGTCTGACTCCAACACCATAGATTTAATTTATGGAATCATACAGTATGTAGTCTTTGACATCTTTTTTCTTCCATTCAACTTGGTGTTAGTGAGACTCATTCCTATTGTAGGAGGGAGCAGTAGTTTGTTAATTCTCATTGTTGTATAATAGTTCCATTGTATGGATAGACCTCAATTGATCTATCCATTCTTGTATTGTTGATCATTTGGTTGTTTCTAATTTTTAGTTATTGCTAATAGTGTTGCTGTGAACATCCTAGCACAGAACATTCTAGAAAATCATTGTGCACATTTCTCCATTTACACAGCCGTTTTCTGGCATGGTGAACTCCAGTGTGTAATCCTGGGCAGTGTTGGAGCATTCTAGTTGCTTCACATCCTCCCCAAGAGCAGGCTTTATGTGGGACCCTTTTCCATGGAATTAATTTGAAGCTCAGAAATGTTACTTGTGTATGATTAAGAACAGTGCATTCCTAAGAGGCAGAACTGGAATTTGAATCCAGGGCTCTGTGACTGTGAAACTTGTGTTCTCTCCCTCTGAGGTCGACATGGACATAGGCATAGATTATATTAAGAGACAAAATGAGAAAAATTCTAACCTTAAAAGGGTATGAAGGGCCGGGGATTTAGCTCAGTGGTTCGGTGGCCTGCCTTGCAAGAGCAAGGACCCGAGTTCAATCCCCGGTACCAAAAAAAAAAAAAAATGTTTAGAAAAAAAAAGTGTATGAAGAGGGCCGGGGATTTCGCTCTGTTTTGGCTGTGACATGGGATATGTGAAAGCTAGGCATGATGGTGCATGCCTGTGATCAACTGTGAGGCTGAGGCAAGAGGATCCCTGTGAGTTTGAGGCCAGCTTGGACTACATAGTGAGCCCCTGTCTCAAAACAAAGAAACAAAAATAGGCTCTGTGGGAGAGGGAGCTAAGTCTGGACAGGTGAGATGAGGCCAATCAGTTTAACCAAGTTTGTTCTTTGAGGGCTTCCTTACCCCTGCCCCTGGTCAACCAGGAAGTGGAGCCATTTACTGGGCAACTGGGCTTCTCCAGAGATGACAAATGGAGCCGGTCTCTCACCAAACGAGAGACCTTAGCCGTCCCTGGAACCCCTGTCAGGGTTTCTGTCTACAAAATCTTTTAGAGTTTTCTGCTTATATGTCTACCGGTAGCTGTGTGAAATTAGTATACCTGATCCCAGTGGTTTCTTTGGAAGAATTTTTTCAGCAAAAAGATGGTAGACAGTGGTTCCATCTTCCCCACTGGCTTGTCTCAGAAATAGCTTTGTCAGCATGGTGGGTGAGGGTAGGGCTGGCTTCTGGTTCTGGTCAAGCCAAACCTGCTGGAGAAACCCCAAAACTGTTTCCTGAGAAAGAAACTGAATTGGTTGCCTCAACAGCGTGGGAAGCAGAGACATAAACAATGGTCTGGGGTGAGTCAAATAATAATCATGCTCTTTATGTGTGCGGCAGTTGCTGGTCTTATCACAGCGGAACTCCACTTGGAAGTAGGTGTGAGTAGGTGACACAGAGAGCGTCATCCCTGTTGACAGAGAAGGGACTGAGGCCCAGAGAGGGTACCAACCCGCTTCAGCCCGGGGGGCGCTGCTGGGCCGGCCCTTCCCAGTGTCCCGTATGTGCTCAGGCCAGTGGGGACCAAGCAGGGAGGCCAGTGCGTGAACATTTGCCAAGACTAGGAGGTGAGTTTGAGAGTGAGGGGGCCCTGACACAAGACTAGCACCAGGGGGTTTGCGGGGATGTGTGTGCCTCCACAGAAGGGAGGTAGCATCTGGTTTGTGGGGGACAGAGGTGGAGGGAGGGATGAAATGTGTATGTCCCCTGAGAGACTAGTTAGGCACCAGTGATGTGTCCTTATTTCGGAATGGTGCCTCCGCTGGGCCTGGTGAAAATAGTCTTCTGGGGCTCCTGGGGCCTGGGCATGGTTGGCATCTGATTGTCAGGCAGGAGAGCTGTCCATGGCAGCCCAAGGGGATCTCCCAGAGATCTTCACTAAGTAATGACCCCAGGAAGCAGGTCCGGGCTGCTAGCTTTGTCCTTATGATTGGCCGTGGGGTGCTGCTGGGGTGGCACATGGCTGTCCCCGGAACTGGTGATCGCAGGGTAGATAATGCACGATGAGCACACCCCTGGGCTCTCCCTGAGGTGCCCTGGGTGGGCAGAGCTAACGCCATCCCACAGAAGAGGAAACCAGGGCCCCAATCCCAAGTCATGAGGTCACGGAGCACATTGTAGGCAAAGCTGGAACCAGCCCCTCAGTCCCCTGACTCCTGGTGCCTATTGAAGTTTGTCACACTGTTCCCTCCCATTTTGGGAGGATGAGAGAGTGTTTGCCAATCCGTCCAGACTTGCAATCCCAGAGGGGGTGTAGGTCATGATAATCCCTCGCCTTTGTCAGTGTTTAATCGTTTACAAAACAGTCTCAGGACTTGGACTTGGCTCTTCCAGTATTGGCTCTATTGTGCAGATGAGAATGTTAAGACTGACAGTTTAACTGTCTCACGCAAGTAAAACTGGGACTTGAACCCGGGACTCCAGACTCAAAAATGAGTGCTTTTATTACTGTACCTCAGCTGCCTCTTTTCCTAGTGGATGTGAATAGCTGAACTTCGCCAGTGATCTGTTTCTTTGAACTTCTGCAGACAGATCTGAAGATGCAAAGAAGACTCTTTTTCTGTCCCCTTAGTAAATGTGATTTATGTTCATTTTGCTAGCACATATGCTTAACAGATTTGAATTAAGAGCTGGGCGTAGTGGCGCATATCAGTAATCTCAGCTACTCAGGAGGCTGAAGTAGGAGGATCACAAGTTTAAGGGCAGCCTGGGCAAGTTAGTGAGACCCTGTGTCAAAATACTTAAAAAAGGACTGGGGATGTAGTTTGGTGGTAGAGTGCTTGCTTAAGCAATGCAAGGCCCTGGGTTCAAGCCCCAGTCCTGGGGGAAAAAAATAAGTTGAATCAAATAAGAACCAGACATCATTGGCCACAGGCAAGAAGCTGCCTGAGTAGTGCAGTTCTTGTGGAAGGAGCCAGGCTGGGGATCACTGTGAAATTATCAGCTGCCTTGTGGCCCGTGACTTCAGACGTGGACTAAATGATGTCACGGTGTCCTAACATCAGGTCTCTCCCCGTTTCAGGCTTGTAGGGTCCAGTCCTCCATGAGGAGCCCAGACATGGAGTCATTCAAGCAACAGAAGGTAGAGGACTTTTATGACATCGGCGAGGAGCTGGGCAGGTAAGAGGCGGAGTGGGAGGTGGAGGGGCGAGATGGAGCTGGTTGTGCCTCTCTTGGTCTCTGTGCATTGGTGTCATAAAGTGTGGTCTTGTCATAGGCCCACTGGGAGGCTCTAAAACAAGCCCAGGTTTTATTCATTGTCATGAGTGACTCTGTCATATCTCTGGAAATAAGGTAGAAGGGGCTGGAGTTATTGAGATCTGTGTTTTCAGCATAACCTGATGGGTGGCTGTGGCAAATCATAATGATTCTTTGTTGTCATTGTTTTTGTTTTGTTTTGGTTTTGGTTTTGGTTTTAGTTTTTGAGACAGAGTCTGGCTGTGTCGTTCAGACTGACCTTAGACTTACTATGTATATAGCCCAAGCTGACCTCAAACTTGCAGCAATCCTCCTGCCTCAGCCTCCTGATTGCTGGCATTACAGATGTGCACCACCACACCTGGCTTGGCTTTCTTCTAACAACTGCTTATGCATAAATGCTGTTTAGTGGTTATAAAGCCCTAATACTGAAATCTCATTCTCAAATAATATGTGGAATAGGGGTTCTTTTTATTCTGGATTTGCAGAGGAGGCTGTGGCCCAAAGTGTAAGCAAGTTGCCCAGAGTTGCTGAGGCAGTAAGCACTGTAACTCGAGTTCTGGTTGTCTGGTCTGTACCTGCGTACCCGTCCCTTTTGCCTCCCTTGAGCACAGCCCTTGCACACATGCTCACCAGGTGCCCACCCTCACCTTTCACACACTCTGGAGAGTAAAAGCCTGGCGTGAGGTCTGCTGTGTGCAACAGGCCAAACAGGAGTTCTTTTCCCTTCAGAGAACTCTGGGTCAGGACTCATTCTCTTCTTTTATTTTAAAAAACAAACAGAAAGATCTTCAAAGCCAGACGCACCTTGTGCAGAGGAAAATGGGAAGTGGCAGGTGCGGCCGTTCAGGGAGTGTCTTCCTGGCTGGCTGGGTGGGGTCCTTGGGTCTCAGGTGACTCCTCTTCTGTTTGAGACTGGCTGCCACTGCTGTGGGCCTGCAGAAGGAGCAACAGGAAGGCAGAGGACCAAAGGCTGGGTGCTCTGGAGACCAGGTTCCTCCAGCCCCAGGACCCTCTGCTCTCGGGAAGTGGCATCCTCAGCAGCAGGTCTGGGCAGCGCCCCCACCCGGCCTCTGGTTTGGGGGCCTCACGTTGGCCATGTCCTGAGTGTAGGCTCTGCGCTAAGTTCAAAGATGGCGTGCAACCTGTTCTCTGCCCCGCTGAAGCTCAGCCTGCAGAAGGGCAGCCGCATGCACAGTGACAGGGCAGAGTTGAATTAGACTCATGTCAGGGGGCAGAGAAAAGGAGAGACTGGTGGTGCGGGGGCTCTGAAGGAGGAAGTAGAAGCAGTTTCCTAGGAAGTTTGTGAATTATTCCTTCATCATCCTGTCTCTTGCCCACTCTGGTTGTGAGCTGTTAAAATGAGAAGAGATCTCCTGTGTTCTGGTCCTGCCCACAACAGATGGGAAGGCCCTGTACACTTCCCAGTGTGGGGTCCTCTGTCTCCCCACCTGTCTAAAGTGCTAGCCAGAGCTAGGTATGGTGACACGTGCTTGTAATTTCAGCACTGGGAAGGCTGAGGCAGGAGGATTGCTGTGAATTTGAGCCAGCCTGGTCTACATAGTGAGTTCAAGGCCAGCCTGTACTACTGAGTGAATCCCTATCCCAAAAATCAAACAGAGTGCTCGCCAAGCAAAATGTGGGTAAGAGACTTGTGCAAGGATTTGTGGTCTGGAGGCCAGGGATGATGACCATTGGAGGGCCTCTCTTCCAGGACCCTCATTTGACATTTGTAGAAACTCGGGCTCAGAGTGGGAAAGGGGAAGGTCATAGAACAGGCTGGAACTATAGTGCCTTCAGGCCAACCATTGAGCTTGTGCAGGCACAGCCTTCTCTCCTTCGCTGACAATATTAAGGATCTACTGTGTTCCAGACACTGCCCAAGGCAGTGGTGAACAAAATCGATCATCCCTGCCCTCTTGCAGTGGGTGATCCATTGATGGAGACAGCCATCAAAATGAACACAGAAGGGTGATGCATCATACGGTGTGTGGAAGGCCAATTTGATTTAGTTTTTCTTTTCTTTTGGGAGACAAGTTCTCACTAAGTTGCTCATGCTGGGCTTGAACTTGCATCAGTCCCCGAGGAGCTGGGATAACAGGCATATATCGTGTGCATAGCAAGGCGGTTAATTAGAGAACTGAGGGGTAAACGTGCAGTAGCATGGCAGGGAGAGTCTCACTCAAGGCAGGAAGAGCCTGAATCTGATGTTAGCAGGAGGACAGGGTGGCCTTAGAAACAGAGCCAAGGCCAGGAGGTGCTAGGTGAGATCGGAGACACAGGTGGGGACCAATTCAATCGGCAAACTCCCTGCCAACAGAGAATGATCACTAAGTTTGGCCTTTGGGGTCACAGGTCTTGGGGACTGGGGCCTCTTCCATGCTGTGCAACTTTGAAACAGCTTACTCAACCTCCGAGTTTCAGTTTTCTCATCTATAAAATTTGGCTGATGACAGTACCCACCTTGTGTCTGTGGGATGAGATGCGATCCTTGGTCCAGGTGATGGACCCACACTTGAAGTCAGCATGGGTCATCCAGGTCTTGGGGCTTCAGCCTCTGCACCCCCAGGAGGAGGGTGTGAGACCTTGCAGGAAGCATGGAGGGGTCAACTGGATCTCTGGGGTCTGTATGTTAACTTGCTTCCTCTGCTCGTGAGGACCCTAGGCCACACTTAGGGCCATCTCGCCGATTTTAGCTCCTCATTGAGTCCATACTACGCAAAAGTGCCCACGAACAACAACCTGCTGCACAAGAAGGTTGTGACACTTGCAGGCGCAAGGTTGAAAGAAAGGGTAAGTTTGGAATGAATCCATGGTGCTAAAAGTCAGAGTGGCAGCCATGCTCAGGGAACTAGAGGTTGCAAGAGGGCATGGAGGGCATTTCTGGAGGTGTTATTCTGCAGGTGTTCTTCTGTTTCTGGATATGGCATGCTTGTTTCACAGAGGTGTCTGTGAATGCACATCTTGATGTACATGTAAATGCAGATTTTCCTGCACTTTCTACCCAACCTAAACAGTACTAACAGAGACCCTCAGCTCCATGCCTTGTGGTCTGTTGCAGAATCATGTTTCTGATTCCCTTGGAGGCCTTTTCTTGCTTCTCCTAGAAGGAAGAGTAGAAATCTGTATAAGAAAGCCTTGGTTTGGAGCAGCGTTCCCTGGCCAGAGTGGCCTTTGTGCACCGGGAAGCCCACCTAGCTCTGTGTATCTTGCCTGATTTCTAGCTCCCAGAGCTGAGTGCAGAGTCTTGGCTGTGCTCCTGGTTTTGACACCAGCCTGCTTGGGATGTGGGAGGATGTCTGCTATTTTCTGTACTCGTTGGAGAATGTAGGCCTGCAGATTTTTGGCCTCTCCCAGCCTTGGTAGACACTCATAGAGCAGAGCAGGAGAATATTGATCAGGGCTCATAAACAGAAGCCCATTCACCCTCTCACTTTGTAGACGGGGAAAAAGATCATCCAGGGTTACACAGTGAACTGGCGATGGAACCCTGGTGGACAATGGTGATCTGGCTCCTGGTTTAGGATGTAGCTGTCATACCATAAGGAGCCCCAAAACACAAAATCATTTTTTCTTTAATTCGAAAGCTTTTGGGGAATAGGATGACTTGTAAAGTAGATTAGTCTTGTCTGTTTGATTTGAGGGTAGGGGAGCAGGACCAGAGTTAGGAGAGTGAGCGTTTGGAAAGCTGTGTTGTTCCCTGGGAGGGGTTCCTGGTTGATAGGCCCAGGAATGGTTTCATGGACCTCTACAAAGATCTATGTGAGCCTAAGGATATAAAGTAATTTTATATAAGCAACACAGGATGATCAATGATTTTTTGTTTCCAATTCTTCAGTTACTTTGCCTTACTTGAAGTTCTACTAGTATTATGATACTGACATGAAATCCTAAAGTGCCCCTGCTAACCTGGATATCAGTAAAGATTTAATCCAAATCTTTGGAAAAGAACTGGAGAAGGCCAGTGATTTATTCAGGGGTCAAAGAGCAAGTGATGTAGGAGGTGGAACTCAGAGGAAGAAATTTCTCAATCACATTGCATTGATTTAAACAAACAAGCAAGCAAGCAAACAAACAAAACCTTACGTAGGTTTTGTGAAAGTGTGCATCATAGGTCTGGCCACTTGGGAGGCTGAGGCAGGAGAATCACTTGAGCCTAGGAGTTCAAGACCACTATGGACAACATAACAAGACCCCGTGTCTCTAAAAAAATGAAAAGAAGACAATTTAGAGCCAACAGAAGGCCACCAGCATTAACCCAACAGCTATTTTACTTGAGTCTTTCTAATATTTCAAGGATAATTCTTATATTCTCCTCTTCACCTGAATGAAGTATGTGTCTTTTCGTAGAGTTCACACTCCCACAAGTGCCAGTAGGCTGGGGAGGCCAAGAGGAGCAGGAGCAGCCCTGGTAGCCTGGGGCAGCCCCCGGAGCAGCTCAGGCCCCTCTCCTGTTTGTGCTGGGCTGTTCGAGGTAAGCCTGCATCCATTCTCCTACTCTGAGCCCCGGGAAATCACTAAGACTGAGGCTGTGACTTATGTTTACCCCTGCTGTTCCACTCATTCTTAGAAAATGATACTTTTCCCCTAAGCTCCAGATCAAATGCTGATGCCCTGTGAATCTGCTGTGTCTACCCCGTTCCATCCGATCCTCCTCTGCTGCAGTGAATACCTTTTATTCTGGTTCCCCCATCAGACTTCCTACTTACAAGGCTTTTCCTGGTCTTCTTCCCATTGGACTGAGGGTCACTGCAGGCTGGGGCTCTGCATTTCAGCCCTTCCCCATCTCTCTCCCGCCCTGGCGTCCCTCTTAGGCCTTTCACACTTGATATGTGCTCAGCACCCATAGATCCTGCAATTTAACTGCAGCACCCTGGAACCCATTGGGATCATTCTATACAGGGAGCCTCAGAGTCCAGGAA